GCGAGCACATCACCGTCACGGGTCATTCCATTGGTGCAGCCTTAGCCGCCGCCGCTGGGATTGATCGACTTGTTCGTCCCGCGCGATGCGTGTTTTTCTCGTGGGTGAGCAGCCCGTCGATGGGCAGGTCGTCAGCCACAGATCCGTTTTTGGGGAGTTCTCACGAAGATTGAAGTGGAAAAACAGACATCGTTGGAAGAAACACGGGATGCTCATCCAGTCGCCTTTCTTTGAGTCTGGAAGATTCGGTTCTGGGCCACTTGTGAAAGAACAGTGACATCAACTTGAGGGTTCAGTGAAGTACCTTTCGAATCCTTTCGCTACCAGTTTTTTTTAAAAGTGTTTTTTTTTTCAATGCCGTGACTCAGGTCTTTCAATGGGAGCATATGGATTTGAACATCCAGCAGCTGCTTGCCTCCAATGTAACATAATGCAACCCGGTGTCGCATGTCATGTCTCGTCATGTCTCATCAGCCGCATCAAGGAATTGGATTTGACGGCTGAAGGTCTCCACACCCCAAAGTTCAAAGACAGAGAGAGAGAGAGAGAGAGAACAAATTGAAGTTGAGTTAAAGTCACATGTGCGTCACCGAGATTTTCTTTGAATAGCTTGCGGTCACAGACCACAGAAAGCTTGAACTCAAAAGGCTATAGATATATAGACCCCAAATGGATAGTAGAAGTTCGTAGATTTCCCCCAGGTCCCCCCGTATTCGAACGTATTGGAAAGAGTGCCACAGTCATCTCTGTAAGGGGATCACCATGGCCGGAAAATCAGACCACACATCCGACCAGATCGATCTCCGCACGGAGCCTATTCGTGCCGCGCGCGATTCCTCGAGGATCACGATGGGGCAAAATGTGGCCTGGTATGGTGAGCCTCCGGTGGCTCGGCAAAGAGCCTGAGAATTCACCGGCTTCGACCATTGTCCGAATGCCAACCCAACGTGGTTTTGGGGTTCTATGATACCATGTGTTCATTGGGGAGCGATTGCGTGCCTTCGAAGCGCCCTTGTGTGACGGGTGACGGCTCCGATCGCCCATGACTTCCAGGATGTGGGTTGCCGTGGGAAGCGCCTCTACTCGATCGATGATCCCGTGCGCCACGGCGGGGGGGGCTGGAAAACAGCGGTCTCTTGACCGGACCGGAAAAAACGGGAGGAGTCCGGGTCCTCATGGGTCATCGACCGTCGATGGGTCGATGCCACCGTTGAATTGACGCCCCTGGTTCGACCTCTGAGAATCACTGTGGAACCTCTGCCCTAAAAGTCCAGTTCGACCGATATTTTGACCGGCTGGAGTAAAGGAAGTTTCCTTTCAGTTCCCCTAGTCAGACCATTCTTTTTATAGTCTGACCGACTCCCAGGGTCTGAGAATCACTGTGGTCACCGTGGAGTCGGTCGTCCAGTGCGTCCGTTTTCGGTTCGGAGCTCTTTTGTCCCCGAAAAGGTCGGAAGGGAGTGGGTCCTTCCGAAGAGTCATCTTTTGTTTTGGACCTAAGCCCTACAAGTCCAGTCCGACCCAGTAAAAACTGGTCGACTTGACCTCCTTAAGTATTGGTTTTGTATGACCATGGCCCAGTAAAATGAGGTCCAACTGACTTGTAGGGAAGGATTCGGACACCGAAACACATGGTTCGGCGGCGGCTGAAAGCCGGTCCAGCCGGGTCTGGAGAAGGATCGGGCGCCCGAAGCGAGGGTCGGGTCTCACTGGGGTCCGGAGTCGTTCCGAGGCTCCGGGAGGTCGTCTCCACCGGGTGGTCGTGGTCGAGGTGAGAAGGTTCGCTGGACATGGTCCCAACTACCAATCAGTTGGGACTCTGCTGGACCGAGACTAGGAGACGAGGGTGAAAGGGGTGTTGTTTACGATCGATGCTTCAAGGGGTCAGGTGAAGGATTCCGAAAATATCATGCGATTGTTTGGGATCCAACCACGATGAACACCAAAACGATATAAAACGATGAACACCATGTCAAGAAACAACGGCCGCGTGGGCTGGTTTGGTGGGCCGAGCCCGGAAGCCCGTCGATCGCCCGTCGGGGGAGAGGTACCGCAGTTGCGCCAATTCAAAGATGGTGAAGACGCTCGGGGACTCAGAACCCCGAGCTCCGCCCGCTTCGCCACCGAGCTCGCCGGGTTTGGAGTCGGGTCGATGGGTCTCCGTCTCTTCCCGGGCAGGTTTCTTCTGGATGTGACCAGTGGATAGCACCCAACTCCCAAGAAGCGGAGTTTTTTTGGGGGACTGGATAACAATATGGATAGCCCCCCAAACAACCAGTGGCTAGCACCAGTGGAACGCTGGGCCTCAATCGCCTCAACCGCCTTGGACGCTGGGTCAATGCATCCCACGGCACCGGTCGGCGTCTGACCTCGGTCCAGTCTCCTGGTCCAGAACCTCATGGAGTCGTCTTCAACTTGTAGGATCAACTCAACGACATGAGGTTTGTTGACCAAAAGCATGAGGTTTGTTGACTCCTGCCTGGCCTGTAGACAGGAGCAAAGAGCCGAGAAGTGCCATTAGAAACACCTGAAAACACAGGGTTGCAGCAACTCAGTGCAAGGAATCCTCCGTTCCTTTCGCGACGCAAGGTCATTCGCCACGCCATGGTGCCTGCACAGACGCTCACACATCTCAAGAACAGCAAGGCACGTCGACGTTCGTCCCAGCGATGGCACGCCGGGAGAGGAGTTCGCGACCGTCGTGACGAGCGTCCCGACCGAGGGCGGGGATCATGGTTTTGGGGCGTCGGAGACCTTCCGGAGACCCGGGTCCGCGGTCCGCAAAACCTGCCTCGGCCGTGGCCGGACAGCGGCCAACCGCGCAGAACTGGGTGGCCAAACGCCTGGGCAGCTGCAGTACTGATGAACCCGTGGATAGTGGTTGCGCATCTTGGAGTGGTCACCGGGTCGTGGTGGTGCACCCGGACCCAAGGCCCGGTGAGCGGAGCGTCTGGGCTCATTTCTGGAGATCCCCAAAAAGGATCCGATCGTTCAGGTCACTTTGTTTGTAGTTGAACAACCGATTGAGGTGAAGGGGTGAACACTATGACCATGTATGACCCATTTGGTGAAGGTGGATGAATCAATTGATGAACTCTTGTGTGGCCTCGGTTTGCGACATTGGAACGGATTCGATTGGCCGCAGATTCACGTAGAACCCATTTGAGCTTGTAGTTTGATACCCTAAGAATCAAGGACCCAAACCGCCGGTGAAGGTTTGCTTCGGGTCCAAGCCCCTGCTATCTATGCAGGGTCAAAACCCTTCAGAAGTGGTCGGGTCCAATGATGCTTCGGGTAGGATCAAAGGCCATACCGTACCCGTCGCAGTGGAAGGGGCTGAAGGGACGGGGCTCGGATTGCCCGTGGCCTTTGAGAGGAGACACCCACATATTTGGGATCGTTGATCCTCCAAATCTTGTGCCATTTCCATACCTTGATGGATGTGATTTTTAGGGTTTCGGGACTGCCCAGATGGCCCCAGGTCGACAGTTGTCCCTACTGGAAGCCGTACTACAACTACCGCATTGCCACTGGAATCATGGACCACAATGCTGCCTTGACTGCCTTGACTGCGGAGAGGGAGTGGTGTGTGGAGCGACACACCAGGTCTGGGCAGAGCGTCGTCCTTTCAAGTGATGGTGTTTTTTGGTTGCTTTTTTGGTAGGTACATAGACCTAGCCTTGGGGGTACACACGAAGAAACTCGTGTAGTCTCTAAGTTTAGTTTAATTTTCATTGGATATTGTGTAGTGGTCCAATGTGATCCTCTCCTTTTGTGGACCTGACTGACATGATGTGTTTCCATCGTCGCCGATGAACATTGGTCATGAGCTTGGTCAAGGGGTGTTTGTTTTCGCATCCGACCCAGTCGGTAGATATTGGATCGATCGCTGAAAGCTTAAGAATCCTCTAAGCTACCTACAGTGGTTTCAGAGTAGATGGCGGAAACCAAAGGATCTCTTTTTTATAGGGGTCGATATAAACCACAGACTGACATCGGGGATTGTGCCATCTACTCTGAAACCACTGCATTTACTTCAGGAACTGGAGGGTGTATAATAAAAGCAAGCAGGGAGATCCCTTCGGTTCAACCGGAATTCGGTTTGCTTTCGTCAATTCTTCCTCTTCTATTCATGTCATTTTCAGGGCCCCCCGGCCACCCAAGGAACTATATTTGGCTTCTTGCTACGTATCACTTCGGCCAGTTTCGCCCGGTCGACTCGTCGCGTCTGGCTTGTTTCCGGACTCCGAGCCTTCATGCACCGAGCCTTCATGTCATGTCCTTCTGGCCCTTTGGCACCTGGCGTTGTGGGTCTCCCTTTGAGAAGGTAGACCCACGACCTTCGGGTGATTCTCCCGGTCTCGAAAGCGGAGCCAGTGCTGGTTGCTAGACTGGTCGAGGTTTTTTTTGCTGGACTGCTTGGTAGAGCAGACTGCTTGATGTCGAGGGTCAGAATATAGTTAAACTGATTTCTTGTACCCAGACGCTCTAAACAGCCCTTGGTCCCTCAAAACCATAGGGATTGGTTCGGGTCCGGGCCCCTCCAAAGGATTCGGGTACGGCCCCGGTCCCTGAACGCAGGGTCCAGACTTCGCGTCTGGGTATTAGTCTGGCCTTCGTCCCTTCGAGGCTTTCACTTACGTCCAGATCATCGACTCTGCCTTCAGCTACGACGATCCCCTACCGATCTCCGCGCCCAGCATCAACGTGGCGTAAGCCCAGACCCCCCGCCATGACCGAGATGGAAAAGGGCTGGACTGTCCGCCAAATGGGGGGGATGCAGTGGGGGCATTGAGGTGGGGGTGTTGTTGCCATGCGAAGCTTCCTCGTTGTAGACAGCTAAACATGCCAGGGGGGAGACCCGTCACGTTCCCGTGAGAGAGATGAGGGCCTCCTGATGGGCTTGTCCAACAAGCCCATGCTCCACAAAGATCAAGTTATAAATTTTCCAGTTCGAAACCATCTACCTGGACACCCGCATGGTTGGCTTCCCGTGGCAGGCACGAGATCCTCCCTTTGCCAAAGAGCAGGCTTGGCCGGCCGCTCCGGTGCCGGCGAGCTCCGCGCGGGCAGGGCGTTGGTGCTGCTTTTTGAGGGTTATAACGAACACGAACAAAGGGCCAGGTGCCTCTTGGTGCCACTTGGTGCAGTGACTCTATTGCTTCTGGATGCCTGGATGCGCAGAAACAAGTGACGGATGGCTTCAAAGGGTCGTTCGCTTTTGACCCCTTTCAGTCTCAATGATCCGCTGTCGATCGTTCGATGAGGCGTGCTGTTCGTGCTGCGTATGATGTCAAAACATCACAGGTATACCAGCCAGGACCCTCCAACAGGCTGTTTGGAGACCCTAACAGGTGGTTTCTGGGCACCTGTTGTCACCAGGAAGCACCTGTAGAGTCGGGTGCTGGAGGTAGGTGCGAAGTAGACCCTGAGAATCCGTACGGGCTGTTTCATGGGTCGGACCGCAGCGGAATGGGGTTCGGCCGAAGCAAACCCGGATTCTGTGGGTGAAGGAGCTCGGATTCCACTGGGGAGGACGTTTTCCACTTTTGCGTCTGACCGAACTGTCACAGTGACCGGTCACGGCGGTTCATGGTCTGTCGCCGCTGGTTCCGCGGGGCAGGCGCCGTGCCAACGAACATGGGCGTCCTCCAACGAGGCGGCGGGACATCCGGGGAACGGGATTGAGAGGTTCGATGGCACCAGTTACCCCCAGTCGGTTGGTGTCACATGGAGTTGGGTGGTGTAGCTCGTCCCCGAAAACGTGAGTGGATGTGACAGGGGCACCCCAACTCCGGCACCCTCCATGGATCGCACCCCTCTGTGACTGCTGGAAGGTTGGTCTTCTTTTTGGACCCACCATTTGTCTAAGACATCTTGGGGTGGGCACTGGCCATCGAATTACTCTAAAACCACCGCCCTGGAAGTCGGGTCGACTGTTTTAAACATGATGGAAAACAGGGTGTCAAATCCTTAAGTAATAACATTCAATAACAGCTGGTGCTTCGGGATTCACACCATTATAGGAATGGCGGGCCGTTGGAATGTTGGTGACAAGATGGCAAAAACATCTGGAATTTTGTAGTCTCACACCCTTACTAAAACCATTCTTGTTCGAGTTTGAAGGGGACGACTGGACTTCAAAAGTCTTTGCTCATCATCTTACCGTGTCCGAGAGAGTTGCTGCAGCTCTTCTTCTACTACACGTTTCTTCACCCGGGCTTTTCGGAGCGAGCACGCGCGTGGTCGTGCACGGTGCCAGGCGTGGAGAACCTGGCACGGGCGCCTAGCCTCGCTCTGGACATGCCGTGGACGTTGCGAGGGAGTCGTTGCCGTGGTCGTCTCCGAATACTTCGATCTCCAAGTGGTTTGAGGTTTTTGGTCACCAACACCCAAGACTTGCCAGGCTCGAGCCCGTTTGAGGTTTTTGGCCTCTTGAAGAAATGATATAGAGGGGATGCCCCAAAGTGAAGAAACGAAAAGAGGAGACATGAATGGTCACCTGGTATCGATAATCGATCCCTCTACTTTTCCCAAGCTTGGACATCATGGCTTGAGCCAGCAGAATGACAGATCGAGGTTCCCGGTGCCACAGGACGCGTCGATGGGGTGCAGGGGATCCTTGAGATGTCTTCGGAGGAGTCCACAGAGTAGAAATGGACCATAGACATGGGTGGTCAAGGAACATTCATCTTTTACACCCCCAACAAAAACGTAAAATATGTTCGAAAGACCACCTTTTTCTTCTTTGAACAGGTGAAAAGAAAAGGTGTGTTCGATCGACTCGCAGTTTCGTATATCTCCAAAAGGTCCTGCACAGAGTCAGAGGTTGTTTTGGTCATGGGAATTTCCAGTTACGCAGCGCGTCAAGTCCGAACAGAGTCCAGGCTTTACCTCGATCCTGTACTCCGCGGCGTGTTCGTCGGCTCCTCCGGCACCTTTGAGGGGGTGCCGACCAATTGGTGCCTTCATTCGCCAGGTGACCAAGATTCATTTGCTGGTTGGTGCTTTGCACTTTCATTTGACTTTTTCTTTCTTTCTTTCTTTCCCTAATTTGGAGCCATGGTACGAAATGGCTATGAAATGACTGGTGGGGGAGAACTCATGTCACGAAAGGTAGCTTGAGCTACCTGAGTTCTCCTTGCTTTAGCAAAATTGTATTACAATCAGGAGTTGGGATTGTGCATTGAATTTGGTCCTGTAAGAGTTGATTCTGTTCGTCGGGGGGGGGGGCCCCCCCGTGGCTTGGACTGTTGTGGTCTATGTGGCGTGGACTCTTTCTGGTGTACATAGTACTGGCACTAGGGCTGGCAGCTGTTGTTGGGCAGCGTCAAGTCAGCTGGCCACGCGGGATCTTGTGATGGTATGGCCTGGTAGCTGGGCTAGTTTCGCCGGCCCTTCCTCACTGGGTGCCCGCATTGTTTTACAGCGTCCGCGGAGTTTGCGGGGTCCGCGGGGTCCGCGGGGTCCGCGGGGTTCGCGGGGTTG